AAGCCAATAACATTTTTTTAAGTTTGTATAACTTAGAAAAAACTTACCTGAGATCCAAAAAATCGTTATGTTTCTATAGAGGTGTGCTTCTTTTGTGTATAAAATATTTAAATAAATATGATGATATTTTAATTTTAGAAATTTATATTATAGAAATCATAAACGCAATGGTCAGGGACAAGCGGTACGGTCGTGAATTGTCTGGAATAATCTAAATCTCTCCAAACAATCCTTCAATTATACTGTTAGTTATAATAACTAGGTGGCGTTAGCAGAGGCATCCACAAAATTGAGCAGAGTCATCAAGGGCTCATATTATATTGTTTTTGTCATACTGCAGTAAAAACAGTTGTTTTTAATGCATGCCTTGCTGGTCTAAAGTAGCATTTTTACTCTTTAGGGAGTAAAAATCGTTTTTAGCCTAAATGGAGTAAAAATCAGCTGTTGTCAACTCAGTTGTAAATTTCTATTACAAACGATTGCATGTATCGAAATATGTATCGATTCGTGCTTTATAACCATTTTGACCTACAGTCTACAGTCTCTTTCCCATAGCATTTTGGCATTGCAGATACATTGATCCATTCCCACATTCAACACTGCTCGCCTCTTTACTACTTCCTTCACCACCCCCTACGTCGTGGACCTGTTTCCCTCTCTTCCCAATCCCATAGCATTTTAGATACGTTAATCTAATTGCCACAAACATTGCCCACACTCTGCACTGCTAGCCTTTACTACTTCTTTCGCCATTTTCTATGTCGTGGGCATGCTTCCATCCCTTCTCATAACATTTCAGCATTGCAGATACATTAATATAACTGCTACAAATGGTTTCCAGTTCCCACACTCCACACCTTACTACTTCCTTCAATCCTTCACCTCTTCTTACGTTGTGGACTTGTTTCCCTATCTTCCCATAGAATTTTAAGATTGTAGATACCTTAATCTAATTAATCGTTATAAACAGTTCCCATACCCCGAACAGCTCGCCTTTACTACTTCCTTCACCACTTCCTACGTCACGGACCTGTTTCCTTCCCTTCCCATAGCATTTTAGGATTGCAAATACCTTAATCTAAAGGTCATAAACAGATCCCATACCCCGAACAGCTCGCTTTTACTACTTCCTTCACCACTTCATACGTCGCGGACCAGTTTCCTTCCCTTCCAATAGCATTTTTAGGATTGCAGATACCTTAATATAATCGTCATAAACAGTTCCCACACTCCGGACAGCTCGCCTTGACTACTTCCTTCACCACTTCCTATACATCGCGGACCTGTTTTCCTCCCTTCCCATAGAATTTTAGGAATGCAGATACCTAAATCTAATCGTCATAAACAGTTTCCAGACTCCAGACTGCTCACCATTACTACTTCCTTCACCACTTCCTACGTCACGGACCTCAAGCTAGTGTCGTCATTTGATTATATTTACCATTCATACCGTTTCTGTTCTAATATCTGTGGATTTGCTATCAGCTATTTCTTTATCTACTGCATTCAAAAGTCAACAGCTGATCATATGTTTTTGTTTATGTGTCAAATACATCTATATTTATACTAGCTGTACCCGCGGGCTTTGCCCCGTTTAACTTCATAAGTATTCGCATGCCTCAATCACGTCCTGGTTGAAGTTCGTTCGCTACGCTCACTCACCTCTAGGTTGGAGCTCGTTCGCTGCGCTCACTTGCCTTCAGGTTGAAGTTCGTTCGCTACGCTCACTCACCTTTTGGTTGAAAATTAGCTGTTGTCATAAATATAAAAAAAATAAAGTGCTGCAACAGGGTGCTTGAACTTCGTTCGCTACGCTCACTCACCTTTAAGTTGGAGCTCGTTCGCTGCGCTCACTTGCCTCCGGGTTGAAGTTCGTTCGCTTTGCTCACTCACCTTTTGGTTTAAAATTAGCTGTTGTCAAATATTAAAAAAAAATAATAGTGCTGCACTCTGTTGGTAATCCTTGTAACTTTAATGCTATTGAACATCATAGAACAGAACCAACTTGTTTAATTGAAACAGCTGTTATGAAAAATCATAAGGTTAACATGGTAAACTCCAGAGCCTCTGGGGCGGAGCCCGAGAGTCCGATCAGAATAAAAACTATTTAGTTTTCCTATTTAATGCCCAAAGAATCAGTATACCGAATTTCAGCCTCCTAGGTAAATGGGAAGTGGGAGAATTAGTGATGAGTGAGTGAGTGAGTGAGTCAGTCAGTGAGGGCTTTGCCTTTTATATATTTAGAAAAGGCAAAGCCCTCACTGACTGACTGACTCACTCACTCACCACTAATTCTCTTACTTCCCGTTTACCTAGGAGGCTGAAATTTGGTACACTGATTCTTTAGGCATTAAATAGGAAAACTAAGCTGTTTTTATTCTGATCTGACTCTCGGGCTCCGCCCCAGTGGCTCTGGAGTTTCCCATGTTAACCTTATGAGTACTCATATTTAAATGGAATTAATGAATCTTAACAGCTGTTTCAATTAAACAAGTTGGTTCTGTTCTATGATGTTCAATAGCATTAAAGTTACAAGGATTACCAACAGGGTGCAGCACTATATTATCTCTTTTACATTAATGACAACAGCTAATTTGCAACCAAAAGGTGAGTGAGCGTAGCGAACGAACTTCAACCTGGAGGCGAGTTACCGTAGCGAACGAGCTAACCTGAAGGCAAGTGAGCGCAGTGAACGAGCTCCAACCTTAAAGTGAGTGAGCGTAGCGAACGAACTTCAACCAGGACGTGATTGAGCCATGCGAACGAGCTCATCTTGAAAATTAAGAAGTTAAACGGGGCTAAGCCTGCGGGTACAGCTAGTCGAACTATATAACACAACTGGAACACCGGGTAGATAGGAGATTTGGGATAAAAAGCGCGCCGTTTCAGCAACCTTCCCCCACCACAAAGGGGGACTCGACGCAGATATGTCAGTTCCTCAAGCCGTGCACGCGGTTGTTAATAACCTCCTGGCCGTGCATACAATAGGTTGACTGCAATTAAAGTTATAAATTCGGAATCTGTATTAACTGAAGAATCTGGCAGGGCGTAGCCCAAGGGAAATATGAAAATTAAATTAAATTATATAATATTGCATTGTCATCCATTTGTGAGCTATGTTTCAAGTTTCAAGTCTCTAGCTCTTCGGGAACTTAGTATAAAATTGATTGCAAAATTTGTACAGGACTAGAAAGCGAGCTAATAAAAACGTTTTAATTCAAAATTGTGATTTATTGAATTTGTCAAAATAAAGTACAGCATTTGTAATGGATTTTTCTGATTTTAAAATTGATTTTCTTCTGCATCGTGTCATGTTTTGCAATATAATGTTCTATTACCAAATCAGTGGAAAATCCTAATCTTATGGAGTTAACTTATATCTATTGTATGGGTTGGTTTCTGCCTTTTTTACCACTTCTTGGAGATTGTACGTACCTAGGTGATATTCTTTGGCTATTGCATCTGTAGACGAAACTTGGATTGGTGTAATTATTACAACGGAAAAGAGCGAGAAATCCTGGACAATTTGATATAGGCTAAAAATAAAACTGAATTAACACTGTGCTACATTTCTTGAGCAATCATTGATATAGGTAACCGATTTGCAAACAATGGAAACATAGAAAAAGTCATAGAACACATCCAGGTAAAAGAAATAGAAATATTTTTTTACACTAAAAACATTAAAAAAAACAAGATCAGCTTTTTGAAAAAAGACAAGATATTTACAAAAGATTTTGATATCTAACTGTTGTGTAGATCGTAAGTATTTCCATAATCTTTGAGTCGCCTGCAATGCTCCGCAATTGCTCGAATTCGAGCAACAGGTACACTAGTAATATTATTATTATGATTCTCATTATAGATGTTTGCATTTGTTTTTGTTCTGCCACACTGTTCAATGCAAACACAAGAGATGTCTATTAAAATAAGTATTAAGAATGATTGAGATTTGCCTGTATATTCCAACCATGGTAAGTGAGTGTAACTTATTCAGTTATAGGCTAGTTTGACTAGCCAGAAAACCGGGCTGACACTAACAATGACAGGTTTTTATTTTCCTGACCCTATTTTCACAAGGTCAGTTTGTGTGGTATATTTTCCAGGGTGGCTCTTTCAGTGACATATCCATATCCATGTTAATCAGACACACAAAAAAAACATTGAAAATCTTCAAAAATATTGTTCAAAATGGCTCTTCATGCTGGAAATATGTAAACACCTACACCTTACCTACCCTTTAGGTTTTCACCCTACTAGATTTGCTGCTACGGGGAAGGTAAAAAGTGTTTTTTGACCATGCGTCAATAGTATAAGATGAAATAAATAAATTAGCCAAATTTTATCAACATATATCTACAAACAAAACAAGTAAACTACAACAGTTTTAATTTTCTCCATTAGAATAACAAGGGAATTTTAAATTAAAATATTTTTGAATTTTTTCCGTGACCGTTAGGCATAGCTCTACAAAACGGTTAAAAAATAAATTGCAAACTTTTTGTTTTGAGAATAAAAAATAGGTGAAACCAATTTTTACCCCATAAACCCCTGTTCCCATTGTCCGATTATGCTTGTTCGCGAACTCGTTTGAATAAATGTAGGTTTACACGTTTCTACCAAGTTTCATCAAAATCGGACCATTTTTGCTCGAGTTATCACCCTAACAGACACATATATACAAATATATATTATTCTTGAGGAGATCTTGATAGAGTTTATGATAAATGAAACATGCAACATTGCAAATTTTCTTTTAATACAAATGTTTTCAAGCAAAGAGAAATTAATGAAAAATGTAAAAATGAACAAAATAAATAAATATGAACTGTTTTTTCATAAATATATATATATATGAATTTTAACGGATGGTGTTTTTGACCTCTAGGGCCCTCAAAACGAAAAATTAAATCGGTCCCGGGTCCAGGTCTTACTATTAGTACTACAGTAAATGGGAAATTCGCTAACAACATTTCATTTCATATAATTTTATTCATTTCAGTACATCAATACAGGAGAAGCGATCTACACTATATAAAGTTGAAAATGATTAATTTACAACTTATCAAAATATAAGAAGGTTTCAACTGACTTATACGATCCCCGCCTATAGAACAGGCACCCTGCTAGTTAAATATCAAGATATCTCTTTTCACCCAAGACAAGGTCAGTTAGTGAAAGTAATCATTTTAACAAACATACTAAAAAAACAGTATTTTTTTACCAGGCAGAAGTACAAACAAATATTAAAAATTTAAGAAAACATTTTCATAAAAACAATAAAATGATCTTAGTTTAATAATCTAAATGAGAAAAAGAATTAAATAAAAGTATACTGATATTCCAAATAAATATTAAACTAATCAACATAATGAATCTAAACTGATTTGTCTCCACTTCTTCAGCCTCCTCTCCCCCAACCACCATGCCTCCATCGCCTTCTACCCTGTCATCAGGCCTGGAAAACAGAACAAAAATTAATACAAAAAACTGTATTCTGAACAAGTTTAGTCTTTTTATGCATACTTTTATTATTATTTCATGTGCTCAGTGGCGTACTGAGGGGGGGGGGGCGGTTCGCACCAGGCCCCACACCAACATAGGTCTCCAAATATCAGGGCCGTATTCCCCTAACGGCGGACACTGTGATTTCCGAGGGCTTCGGCCTGGGAAGGGGACTCACTTGCGGCCTCAAAAGAATGCTTTTTTTCTCTTGGAAAATAAATTTTCCCACAATCTGATAGAATTAGGGGGTACAATAATCCAAGTTTAACTTGTATTCTCATGATAGGCGAAAGCGTCTGCAAAGATTGCGTGATCAAAATTTACGACTACCAGCGATCGCGGGTGATAATCAGGCCTCGCAACCGCGAAAGATGTTCACGATTGCTCCGAGGATGCCCACGATTATAACCACTGGCGACTATGGAAGACGAAGATGATGACCCTGCAAACACGGAAGACGCTCACGATTTGGTCATTACCGAGGACAATATCGTTTAATTTTGCCACAAATGCAGTAGTCGTTTGTTTCAATATATAAGTGCAGACACCCATACAACCCATTTTGTATAGGACAAAATATAATGTACAGAGTGTGGCAAAATTATCTGATACGTTTTCTTCTCTTAGTAGTGCAAGTGTTTTTTAAAAGTGGCAATTCCGGTGTAGCTGTTCAGGGGTAGTCCCGTACACGTTTCAACAAAGTTTTGAAAAGTGTAAGGCTCACATTTACTACTGTGGGGGGGGGGTTAACATTCGTGAAGTGGCCCCCCACAGTTTTTCCGCTGTAGCTATACCGAATCCTTAGAGCACTAACGAAGCATTAATCATTGATACTAGTTTTATCGTTTGTGATTTCCTCGGGGGTGGGGGGGGGGGGGGGGCAACTTCACGGACCTCTCACTTCTTTCTTTGTGGTGCAGCAAGTCAAAGTCAAAGTGTCCAATTATTTGAAATATATACACCCGCCCACTGAGCTAGAAATATAACTGGAGCATTGGTGAAGGAATTACGTGTCGTCAGGCTGCTATGTTGCAACCGAGGGGATAAGTTCTTTGAATTTACTGAATTGGCAATTGAAATTCTCTAAAAGCGTTATTTGAGTGCACTGTACATCGCCTCTCCTGTGAAAATGCCACTATCGTATACGTCAATAAATATAGTCATTAAAATTAAAATATGTGGTTGATGAACGTCAAGCAAGCTTACGGGGTTCTCTAAATAAATAAATTATTCTCTTGTGATCATTAAACATGTATACATAATATACATCTCCCTCATCAATGATACGCATTCACAATCTCAGTCATAATATTGGTTACTACTTGTGCAAACTTCAAATTAATGACAGTAGTGAAGCCATAAGAATATAAATATCCTCCCAATATATATTATCGCAATGTGTTATTAATCTATGGATGGAGTGCCAATCTAGCACTAAGGGAGTGTTGTGTTGGTATTATTTTGTGAAAAAACAACAAAAAAACAGAGCAAGCAGAGCAGACTGCACCATCAGCTGATACTCGTGTCTGGAAGAAACGAAGAAAGAAACAAAATGTAAAGTAAACGTGTTGTACTCAGTACTCAACTAGTCATAACAATCGCTGAGAGCGAAGCTATTGTTATTGTTTGTAAAGCCGAGAGTCTTTTCTCTTACCCGAGACCGATGATTGGCTTATACCATACCTTTGACTGTTAATTGAGTTGATACAACAATTTCTGTGTCCAATAGTTAATGCTGATACTCAACTATCTCCGAGTCTCTGAAGACTCACTTTTGAAATTTGAGGACTGATTGTGGATAAGGCCGGGGCATAACTCAACCAGTAAGATTGATTTTCCGTTTTCATGAGCGACGCACGTATCAATCTGCGTTTCTGTGTTTTTTTTTACAAGGACTTTATAATCTCTCTTTTTCGTCCACATTATTGGGCTAAATAAAAATATGTGTTTCGGAACAAGTTGGCCTTAGTTACTAACAAGACTACAAGATCGTGCCACTCATCCTTCACTAATGTCTGGGTTAAAATACACACTTAGCGGCGTCTCCATCATAAAATAATTGATTGATTGAACGTTACTAAGGATGGTGGTAACAACAATTAAAATAAAGAATTGTATAGAAAATCTGTTTTTGACAAAATGCAATGATCTTGGTTTGTCACGTAATCTAGAAGTAAAATGTTGCAATGATTATTTCAACTATTGAATATATTGATCCATAGCTTAATAAACTGTCGTTAGAAAATATTTTGTATTAATTTTTTTTTAAATATAACTATGTTGTGACCATATTATTGAAATACACGCACATTGTAAACGATATCTCTTTAACGAACTCGGAAAAGAAAAACAAAATTTTTTTAATATATAAGATTGCTATTTGGTTTTGTATTAATTCATCTTTTTTACAATACATTTGAAAGCTAAATTTTAAATATTTTTTGAAACTGAATCCTTGATAATTATTAAAGAAATGGCTGTGAGCTGGGTAGGACATGTGTGGATCTTTATGAAATTTGAAAGTTATTGAATTGCATGTATTAGGCCTATTGTTATTGTTGTATTTTGAAATGTTTAATTACGGCTTGTCACTCTCAAACAGCAAATTGTTCTTGGACCTTTCCTCCACAAATATTTAACGATCTCTTGTCTTACATGACTAGATACACTATATGTTTCTAGGTTACTTACTTTTCTTCGGATATTGAGGTTGCATCTGCTGCAAACCGGAAATTTTGACCCTCCATTATATTCATAACACCACTGGCCATTTGAATTCTTGTACACATATCTGTTGCAGTGTGCAATGCCTGTCTGGCAATTACTGCATGTTTCCTGTGAAATAGAAGCTAAATTTATTAGTTTGGAAGTGGAGTGAAACATAATATAGTTGTAGATAAAATAATCACACAAAACATAGAACACGTGAAATTAGTTTTAAAAATAAATGAGTTTGAAAAAAGAAAAGTAATGTATCATTTAGTGATTTTGTTGCCCACAATTATACCACTTACTTTTAGATTATTAGGCTATATTTCAATTAAGTGTTCAGAGAAGCTGAGGCATTAATCCGGAGTCAAGGAATTGTTTTTCTGTTATAGTGACCGACTGTGAACTTAAATTATTTTGTTTAAGGCCTACAGCTAACATTATAATACTTGAACCAATACTGGTAAGAGTAAGGAACTTTTTAACTAACTTAATTATCGTGAAAAATGTAATTTTGGAAACTTACTTAAATACTTTTGATGTGTATTGGTACTCGTGAAACCAAAAATATTTGGAGAAATTTGAAATTAGTACTCAATATCATAGGGGGCTTGGTGGTTTTTTTATTTCAAAATAGAGGATTTTTTTATAGAAAAACGCCTCTAGGGAAAATGGTTCAACAGGTGGGTCAGCAATTATATTAAAACAAAATGCAGGTGTTCAGTTCAGAATTTGTGATTTGAAAAATTAATTATTAATTAATTAATACAATAAAAACTCGAAGGACCGAAAAAGAATTAAATACAAAAAAAACATTCACACCGGGTATATATCCTGAAATATCAAGGACTTTTCTGAAAGATCAGGGATATTCCTCAGGAGTTCTAACGACAAAAGATCTTCAGCTGTTGACCTATTTGAAGGTCAGGCATTAGTATGGTTCAGATCAACTAAAGGCAGAATCTTAGATTGGGATCAAATACGAAAAGAATTAAAAATTGTATTTCAGCCTCCGGACTATGATGAGAGACTTAAGAAAGAAATCGCCATGAGGACTCAAGGGAAATTTGAAAATATTGATATTTATTTGGCAATCATGGAAAATCTTTACGCTAGGCTTTCAACTCCTGTTTCGAAAGAAGAGAAATTGAGACAAATTAAGTGTAATTTAAACAGTCATTTGCAAGACAAGTTATGTATGTTCCCAGTGACGTCATTCGATCAACTCAAGAGATTTAGGGCGTAAAGCTGAACAGGGGAAACGACAATCTTCAAACGTTCAACCACCACCACATCCTCGTATGACAATGGAACCAGACTTAGCCTATAACAGACTAAATAGCAGACCAAATCTATTTCAACGACAGGGTAATACTTGGAATATGAAAAAAGATCAAGTTTCAGCGTTGAATAATGAGATAAGTAGAACTCCAACCAATAAATTTGTATCTAGTGACAAAAAGGTATCTCAGACAGTGAATAGTAGTGATGATACATCCCGACAGAAAAGATGTTGGAACTGTGGCAAGATAGGCCATACTCATGTTGACTGCAAACAGCAAAAATCTGGATTATTCTGTTACAAATGTAATTATAAGAACTATAATTGTCATAACTGTCCTCGCTGCAACAAAGTGTATCAACCAAAAAATGTGCAACAGAAATCAGAATTGTGAGTCATCTGTTTTCTAAGTCAAAAAGGGCTCACGAGGAAAAATCTGATTTTACACTATCTTACAGTAGGATAACTAAAGACACCCGTAAGGAAAAACATGACAAGAAACAAAAATCCAATAAAGTAAATCAGACAGATTTTTTGTTGCAACCAAATGTTACGGATAATAGGCCGTATGTTGTAGTAAATATTCTAGGTTACGGCATAAGCGCCCTTCTTGATTCAGGTGCGACTGGTTCGTTATTGGGAAAAGAAGGACTCTGGATTCTCGAAGAAGCAAATCTAAAACCCACTTCCGCTACTAATAATGTTATCTGAACGGCTGATAGAACAATTCATACAGTAACAGGCACTGTTGACCTGCCAATTAACTTAGAAGGAAAATTAAAATTGATCACAACTTTGATAGTACCGACTCTGCCAGACGCTTTGATTTTAGGAGTGAATTTTTGGAAAGAAATGGATATTATTCCTAGGTTACTAAATGGGACTTGGAACTTTGGTGAATTATCTGAAGAAAATCAAATCTGCGCATCAGTAGGAATTTCAGACCAACTAACTCAGGAACAGAAAAATCAAGTACAAGAAATACTAGATAAAATAAAGAAATATGATGGACTTGATGATGATAAAGGACATTTAAGGAAAACACATCTCTTGGAGCACAAGATTAACGTCAAAGACCCTGAACCATTTAAACTTAGACACTGCAGTCTTTCACCAGCAATGCAAGAAATTTTGAACAAAGAATTGGATAGGATGTTGGAAATGGGAATTGTACAGGAATCTTGCTCACCATACTCTTCACCCATTCTTCTTGTCAAGAAACCTTCAGGAGACTATCGACTATGTCTGGACAGTCGAATCCTCAACTCTAAAACAGTAAGAGACTCCTACCCACTACCGTTCATCACACACACTCTGGACAAATTAAGAGGTGCAAAATATATTTTATCTATTGATCTTCGTTCTGCATTTTGGTAAATCCCGTTAGAGGCCAGTAGTCGTGAAAAACTGCATTCACAGTACCAGGCCGAGGACTATTTGAATTTGTACGTAGGATTACATAACTCATTTCAGAGACTTATGGACCGTGTCATAGGACCTAAACTTGAGCCACATGTGTTTTGCTATCTTGATGATTGTATTTTAATTTCTACCGATTTTGATCAGCATATGAAACTTCTTGAAGATGTACTGAATAGAATACATGAAGCTGGACTTACTGTAAATGCTGATAATTGTGAAATATGCAAACCAGACCTTAAAAATTTAGGTTATGTTGTTGACTCTAGAGAACTTAAAGTAGATCCTGAGAAGGTAGAATGTATTGTAAACTATCCTAGACCTACTAATGTTAAAGAACTTGGAAGATTTATTGGTATGACATCTTGGTACCGAAGGTTTGTGAAGAATTTCTCTGGCAAAAGTTCAATTTTGACTGACCTCACAAGAAAGGGAAAGAAGTGGATATGGACTGAAGAATGTCAGACAAATTTCAAAGCTTTAAAAGAGGACTTAATTAAGGCTCCAATACTAACATGCCCAGATTTCAGCAAGGAATTTTCTTTACAAACAGATGCTTCAGGATACGGAATAGCTGCTGTTCTCACAAAATGTCATGAAGAAGGAGAAAAAGTAATAGCATATGCTTCCAGATCCTTGACAAAACAAGAAAAGAAATATTCAGCAGTAGAGAGAGAATGCTTGGCAGTTGTTTGGGGCATAGAAAAATTCCGCCCGTATTTAGAGGGATATACATTTAAAGTAATAACCGACCACCACTCATTGATCTGGTTAAACAAGCTTAAAGATCCAATTGGAAGATTAGCTTGTTGGGCTGTGCGCCTACAACAATATTCTTTCACAATAATTCATCGTAAAGGACTCTTGAACAACGTGCCCGATGCTTAATCACGTGCAGTTGAAGATGTTGCAGTTGAGTTTGACCTTGTTGAGTTTGACAACACTAATAACAACGATAATTGGTACAAAAATATATTTGAAAAAGTACAAAGACACCCTGCAGAATACCCGACCTGGAGGGTTGAGAAAAACAACCTCTATAAAGCAGTCAGATTTGACAACTCACAACCGCAAGAACAAGACATATGGCGCTTAGTTGTACCGTCAGATTTTAGACAAGATTTGTTAAGGAAATGTCATGATGATGTTACTTCGGGACACTTAGGAATTTTTAAGACCTACAGAAGACTAGCCTCAGAATATTTCTGGCCTAGTATGCAAATAGATGTTTGTAAATATGTAAGAGAATGTAATATTTGTCAATGTTACAAAACCTCACAACAAAAGCCTGCTGGATTGTTAGGGCATAGAACCGTGGAAAATCCATGGGAAGTTTTGACAATAGACTTAATGGGACCATTCCCCACTTCGTCTAATTGTAACAAATATCTACTGGTAGTAGCAGATGTATTTACAAAATGGGTTTGTGTTTCAGCATTGAGAGACGCGACAGCTAATGTAGTTGTCAAACATCTAGAACAAAATGTTTTCTGCAATATGGTGTACCTAAGACAATAATTTGTGATCAGGGTACTCAGCTAACTAGAAAGAAGTTTTTCTGTATGGCAAAGGAACATAACATTACACTTTGGTATTGTACACCTTATACACCTTGTGACAGGTAGCTGAATGAAACAACGAAAATGCGCTACGAATAAATAATTTATTATACTTAAGACAAAACAAATATGTAGCTCCCGACTTGCTGTATAGTCTATTTACGTTTAGTTTACAACATAAATAATTTATTGGGGAACATAGCCTCATGGGGAAAGGCGACGCGGAACTTTTCATGACCGACCGAATTGAATTTATAATTTAGACTAACTCAACTGAGTGCTCTCTGTCCATAGCCCAGAGTTGGGCGAGGAGGGGAACCAGCCAATCACGTTGCGGCTATGCCGCGTGACGTCAGTGCAAGCACTGGACAGTGCTGCCGCGTAACGATCACTCAGGGCGTTAGGCAAACTGTAGCTGCGCATTAACTGATTTCATCGAGCAACCTGTTGAGCTGTCTCAGCGAATTCCAGCCATGCGCGTAACACTTCGGAGAACATTGGCCTGGCCTAGCGCTGAGCCACGGCTGACGGAATATTCCATGGTGAGGCAACTGGCTGACGCAGAAAGTTGCGAGGTTAACAGTCCAATATTACAGACCCTCTTTTTATATTTGAAATAAAGCAAAGCTTTTGTGACGGTACTGACAGGGTTTCCTGAGGGTGTAGCAAAAACCTCCCCAACTGATATGTAATGGGTCCGGGAATTTTTGGGGCCGTCACAACCTCAAGCCAACCCAGTTGAAAGAATCAACCGTGTTCTAAAAACTATGATAGCTTGTTACGTAAAAGATAAACACCAATATTGGGACAAGTACTTACAAGAGTTTGTTTTCGCCCTACACACTGCCGTACATGAAAACACAGGA